TTCAGCTCCAAGTAGGCAATAAGGTGCAAATATTGCCAGTTTCCCTGCCTCTCACGCAAGGCAACACTTGAACTTATACACTCCCATTTATGGATATTAGGAAAACTGAGGCACATAGTGCAAATGTTTTTAAAAAAAAAACAAACAAAAAAACACCACTGCAGGCTGTTCTTACTCCCTTCACAGAAGCAACTGAAAGACTCTGCAGAGAGCAAAGCCCATGTTTGCACAGGGCTTGTGCAACCCGTGTTTCCCTTAGGACCTGTCTCTTCTCTTAGTTGTTGCCCCTTGCCTTCAATCTGTCCATGGGGTTGGGTTTATTGGTTTTGGCTGGGTTTTGGCAGGTTTTTTTGCACTGGCTGCGACGTCTGTCTTGTAACAGAGGAAATGCTTAAAATCAGCCCAGGCTGCCCATTTGCAGTGTAACAGATGCACTTGTAACTCAACCACAGGGATGTAGCAAGCTTTTGCATCAAAGGGTGGGAAGACTCGTATGGTTTGGATGTAAAATGAAGCCTTCAAAGGACCCACCGCTCCTTGTAGCAGCCCGTGTCGGTCTTGCCACCACCCATTCCCTTGGTGGATTTTTCAGGATTTATGTCACGGCTCCAGAGAGTTAACGGCACTCTTCTCGCAGCTTTACACAGAAGTAGTATCAGCTGTAGTCAGCAAAAAGCAGAGTACTGCAAACACAGGTCTTGGCAGTGAAGTGAAGGGAGAACAGACCATCAACCAAAAAATGTGGTATGGCATTTATGTGTAACTCTTCAATCTCCCCAGCAGTTTGTTCCACAAATTACTAAGAATTAGGGGGTTTGCTGATATTTACTTAAAAAGGAGGTATGGGGAAAGCACTTCCAATTTACCTTTAACTATGTAGCTGTAACATAGTGTTACAGCATTGTCTTCACATACAGAGATGAGGAAAATCAATTGCAGTTCCCAAGGGGCAGACGTATTGGTTGAGAAGGTCACTAAATACTTGCAGTTGCTCAACAGACTAGGAACCAGATCCCCTCTGTGCTGCATTGCTGCTGGGCTCTGCGCTGAGAGGGGGAAGGACGGGAACACGTGCGTGGGGAAAAGTGCTTTATGCTCTCCAAAACACTCTCATCAAGGGCAGAAGAAAGAAGGGAGCAAGGCATTCAGCATATCCAAAGAGCCATATTCTGTTTGTACCATTCACAGGCACATACCAAGGACTACTTTGGTCCACGTTGTTGAATACAAGCGTGCTTGTAGCTCCTGCTCAGGAGAAATAGGTTGAAAACTGTTCAGCCTTTACAGGAAATATTAGTGTTGCAATGCTGTCAAGGTCACTGTCAGCCTGGGTTATCTGCTGTGTAAGTGCTAGCCGCACAAATCAGGCTTAGCTAAGGGCTATAATTCATACACTCAGCATTTTGTGGATTATGTCCTTTAGCTTTCCCCCATTGCCATTTTAGCTATTCATTTAGCTCCAGTATATGACTTGCAATTTCTCTTTGGGGTAATTTCCCCGTGTGGTGCAGTGTTTCTCTGTATATTCCTTAATCACAGGCGTACAAACTTGCTCTGTATGAGTAATTTTATGTATAATGCTTATTGTTATCTTTGAATGCAGATGGTTCACCTTTGGACAAAACAATAGAAAAATGCATGTTACAGAAGAAAAAAAAATAATCAATGAAAGAGTTACAAAACCCACAAGAAATATTAACAAGGAAGCTCCTGTGGTTAAGGCACCCAGAGGAGAGTCAGGAAACCTCGGATCTCTTCCCAATTCTGATCCAGACTTTCTTCAGGAGCTTTCTGATTTCAAGGTGTCTTAGCTTTTATTTATTAAAAAAAGATTATGGTATTTGCCACCTCATGGATTTATTGAGATTAACTGAATTCCTGATTCTAAAAAGTATTGTAAGAAAGTATTACAAAGAACGGTTCTAGCATACACATATGCTTTTACATTATCTTACAAATCTAAGGGCATCAATAGTAAGAAGAGTGGTGGAAAACAAAACAAATTTTTCTGTCCGACAAAGCAATTAATCTGTATAATCAGAACAGCCTCTCGATTGTGCAATCCACAAGACATTCCCTTTAATAATGAAGTGTTAAAGTCTAAAGAACGTGTACATGTGCTCATCTCCTGTATGTCGGGCTAGCTGAGGCAGTAATTTTGAAACATTAATAGGTCCATATTGCAAGGAAAAGACTGTCTCTTCTGAGATACAATGTTGAAAAATGTGTAACTCATTCTTTAAGATTTTCAGCCAACATGTGATTTTTTTTTCTTCCCTGTTAGTGCTGAAGTTGCGGTAGTATATTAGCTTTTATCCTTCAGTTGTCTGGTTCTCATTCGTAATATTTCTAGCTAATATTAGTTTTTGTCCTACAATGCCACAACAGTTTCTTTACATCCTTTACACCCCAGCTGTGCAGGCACCTTCATCACTTTAGGACATTGCCTGTTTCTCTCCAGCTCTGTGATTCGGTCAAGCATCTTGGCACAAGACTTTCTCACTGCTTACTCCTTCTAAACTCTTTAACGCATTTAAGTGGCCTTGAACACGATCACTTCTACTGCACAGCTGGGCCTACAGCAAATCCCCAGAATCAACCAGCCTGAAACTTCTGAGCCTGAAATTTGACTGCCAGTGTTGTTGCATCAGGCCCAATCTTCTGTATTGCAGACAGTTTGGCTCGGGGAAAAAATTATGGGCATAGTTGTTTACACAAAGTCCCTTTTTTCATTCTGTCCTATCTGATCCTATTTATACATCTGAAGAAAAAATTTTGAAAGTGTTTCAGCCTTTGCTGCTGATTAATTATCAACCCCTTTCAGCTGAATTTTCCCTTCCTTTCTCTTTTCTGCTCTCCTAAAAAAAAAATTAATAATAATTAAAAAATGCCCAAAACTATGACTGTCAGATATTAAGCCTTTCTGACCAAATGGAGAAACTCAATGTACCCTAGGTCAGTTATTATACATGCACATTTAGTTCATGTTATTGCCACCTAAATGTACAGGTTACCCATGATGGTACGCCATGTTTAAAAGTGACCATGGGTAGACTGAAACACCCTTGTATTTTCCTTAATGACTTGCCTGTCGGTAGGGAACAGGTGTTTTAGAATGTACTTTGGACAGAAAGTGAAATTTTAAGAGGAAAATTTAAATTATCTGAGTTCCTTAGAAATGCATAAAATTATCCATTGCTTATCAATTATACACACATACATACCCTCTCCCACAGAAGAGGCTGGATCAGGCATCTACATTATTTGGTGTAATTATGTCAGTTGTAAAATAAAATGCAATTGATACGGAGTATTTCTGGGTTTATTTGCCATATGTGGCGCACAACAACAAATGGTAGGTTACCTCTGAATTTTTATTTCAAGTATGTTACACACGTTTATATGTAAAAATTGATTATAAAAAAACAAATGTGGCATTAATTTGCCATGCTCTAAGTAAATTGCATATCCCTTGTAACCATTCTTCTGGTCAGGAGCCCCTTGGATTCCATCAATGGAGACATCTACCCTGCTCACAGAGGCACTACTGAGTGATATGCAGTGCTTTCCTCCCACCAGCGCTTCAAAATTAGTCAAAGGATTGATAAGAAAGAGCATCCTTGTCACAGCCTGGAATTCCAAACTGCATTAAAAATCCTAATGTTGCAGTTTAACTCTTGAAGGATTTTTTTTTTTTTTTTTGTAAGATTGTGTTCTTAAGTGCTTGCAAATTCTTATGTTTTGGCTCAAATTCTCATGTTGTGGCGTAAACACCCACGGTCACCCTAGACTCCTCTTGCTTCACCTTCTGCACCAGCAGCCCGATAAGGGAGGATCCTTGATTTCAGACTCCAGAATCTCTCTTGCTTTCTTTGGTCCAAGAGGACAAGCCTTCTCTCCCTTATATTGTGTGCCTGAGTTCAGTTTTTCTCATGTCCTTGTTTCACATATACTACACGCTGTCAGCACCAAAAGCAGGTGCTCATATGCCCCATCTTCCATTCCTATATCTCACAGCTGACTTAATACATCCCAAAGATATGGACGGTTGGTTTCTTCCAAGCCATAGCTTTGGTCATTACTTGTGTAACTTGACTGACATGGGTGTCGCATACATTTGGCTTCATGTTTTATAAACCACAAAATAAGTCATCTTTACGTGTCCTTAATATCACAGGCTGCTTCATTCTTACTTTCGTTGCTTTAAGGTTGTCTCGTTGAAACTTTCTATGGATTGACCTATGGATTCCTATGGAGATGCCTCTGGGAAATAACTGACAGACCTGTTATGCAAATGCATCCCTAGTTCTCTTGCAGAGATAGAAAGTTCCTCTCGGTCCAGAAAGATTGCCAGAATATTTCCTCCCTTCCTACGTTTCAGCCCGTCTGTCACTCTCAGATTTAAAAACTAATGCTGATTTGATTCACCCAGGAAAAGAGCATGAAGTTACCTCTTCAGCTTACTTGAACATCACATGGCAAGTTACATCCCATTTGCAGTAAAGGAACTCCATCCAGAATCAGGCTCAGAGCACAGAGCAGAGACAGCCCTGCACACTTATCTTTCCATACTGCAGCACCTGCTGTGTTTGCTTTTGAAAGATGAGAGCTATTAGTTCAGTGAAGAGCTTAATCCCCCGGCTTCGCGCTGCCGGCACCTCCCTATAACCGGTCCTTCGTATCACAGGCATGTTCTTGCTCAGAACAAGAGCGCTGCACAGCAGAGTGAAATAAAGTTGATGCCAACTTCATAACAGCATCTTAACGCCGTTGTGTAGCTGTAACAGTATTTCTTAGCCGCCTAACTCCCAATAGTTTCTGTAGTGCATAACAGTGCTTTTTGAAGGCTTGTCCAGCGCCAGCAGATCACTGACAGGTTGCCTGTACTTTCAGGCTGTTCTGAAGAGGCCATATAGTAACGTTTATTTCCTCTCCGTACCACTCGGCCATCCAGCTTGTGTCATGTTTACTGATGAGCCCACAGTGCCATGAACGTCACCTTAGACAGAACTCGAAGCATGCTCATTTTTGCAAGTGCTGTCGCTGCTTAAATCCTGGAAAGTTGTCATTTCATGTACGTTGATGAGGGTGAGCATGTGTTTCATATCTGGTCTGTTTTTTTGATAATTGGGAGACATACTCTCTTTTCTTAGACATGTCTAAAAGAGAAAACAGAAAGGAAAGCTTAAAACTGAGAATTCCTATGAAAGGCAATTTGTTTTTAAAGTTTGAAAGTTTTGTTTTTTCTCCTTGCCTAACCATAGCTCATTACACCTTTTCCATTTGTTTGTCACCAGAAGCACCCAGTACAAAGAAAAGCTGCTGTTTCTTGCTCAATGAAGGAGTTTTATAGGACAAAAGCCTTAGTCACAAAAGGAAATTTATATTTAATACAGGTTTTCATATGAACAGGCCTTGCGTCAAGCTCTTGCAAGTGTGTTTCCACCTGCCTCCAATGCAGACCAGTGCCTGAAATATTTTCATCAAGTTGTCAAAGTAAAGCCCCAGTCCTGCCGACCAGTCTTTAAACTTAATGTCACTGTTGAGTTTAGTGGAGATAAGGCACAATCTCCACTAAAGGAGAGGAAAAGAACTTAACAGGCATTTTAAATAATGAAGCTCACTTGTGAGATCAGGGCAATATTAAATTTTGATGAAAGCTAGGTTGATACCTGAGACTGGACCAAGAGTAAGATACACTTAGTTCCACCAAAGTGGTTATCTTCACTACACGGCTCTGGTTTTTTTTAACTGCACCGCTAAAACTGGGACTTTTTTTTACATATGGGAAGGAGACATTTCTGTAGAGATCTGAAATTCTTTCAGGACACTGAGCAGAACAGGGGCATCTGTCTCTTCTGAGTGATATCCTTGCTTTCATACTTTCATCCTAACAAATTCCTACAAGATTTATCTTGTCAAACTTTAGTCTGAATGGCACAAATTACTGGCAGGATTGTCAATCTAAAAAAGAGACAGGCATAAATTTAATTGCTCCCTGAAGATACATGAAAAGCTACATTTAGCTGCAGCTAATTAGATATTCTCCAATCAACAGTTATGATTCATCTGCTGAGGAGCCAAACAAGATGGCAAATATGAAATAGACAGCAAAAGTTAAATCTGAGCTCCTAAAATGCTGGGGTTGGTTTTGTTTTGTTTTTAATTAGAAATGCAGCCGGTGTTGCACTGTACCAAGACCCAAGGCTCATGCTTCCTTTAAGCCAGGAGGCGCAGACCTCCTGGTTTTTCTGCACGAGGGGGTGACTTCACTGCTACCGCAGACAAAACGTAGTTTTGCTTCTCTGAACTGAGCTTCCCAAATACTTCCTCTCCCCACCTTTTCCAGAACTACCTGCCAGCATTAAGGGTATGGATAACAACCCAAGGAGGTTCTTTTCCAAGGATCTTAAAATGTCTGTCTACCAAGAAAGACAGAGCTTCACGAAAATGCCCATCTGAAATGGGGTTGTCACCAATTTACAGGTATGGAAACTGAGGCAAAAAATAGGTGTACTTGAATGTGTCCATCATGCCACCACACAAAGCAATGCCATAAGTGGGGAAGGGATCCCAGGGGCCTGTGCCTCCACCTCGCACAAATGCTGTTCCCAAGTACCAAACCAGAAAAGCTGTTGATGTGCCCTTAAACTGAAGAGTAGCTTGCACTAAGAGTAACTTGAAGCAGAAATGGGCAGCGGGGTGCAGGAAAATAATTGTCTGGTTTGAGTTAGATCAGGGTGCAGTGAAATGTTTTATCTCTTTGGGACTCCATCCTGTGTTCCTCGTGCACCTGAGTTTCCTCTGGCTTTGAAAATACTGTGTGAATATTTGAAGGATTTGATCATAAATTAAGTATGAACACCAACTTCTGACCGGCTGTGTTAAGGCGGTGCTAGCAGAGAAAATGAGCGGGGGGTTTTTTGTTGGTTTGGGTTGGTTTGTTTATGAGAAAGGGAATTACTTACACAGGTAAAAAAGATGAGCAGCAAGTAAAAAATCCCAAGGCAAGTCAGCATGAAAAGCTCAGCTTTGTATTTTCTTAATTTTTCATCTTCTATGCCAGGGCAACCTAAAATGCAAAGCAAGGTGTTACATTGTTCTGGTGTTTGTAAAATATTTTTAAACTGTTACCTTCATGAAGTGCCACAGGGAGCATGGGACAGTCAAGAGTCTCTTCTGTACCTGTTACTTTTAATGTGACTGTGCCGCTCAGATTACGTTCTCCACTCTGTTCCCCCAAAGTGCACTTATATGTCCCGCTGTTTTGGCTGGTCACGTTTTTGATCCTCAGTGAAAAGAAGGTGTCGTTGGAGAATTCCAGGGACCCCCCAAGTTCTTTTGGATAATGAGATTCCACATCAAGGACTTTCCATGCTATTTCTTCTCCAGCTCCAGCCATCTGGAAAACACAAATATATTTCTCGTCTTGGGCAACAGTGTCATCCTGAGTTTTAGGGGAAAGAGAGTTTTAAAGCTGGCTTATGGCTGAAAATGCAGAGGCTGAAGAGAGGCGGGGGGGGGGATACCTCAAAAACGTCTAATGAGTTCATGCTCACAATCAAAAAGTATTTGTGTTTTTGTTTAAATAGACACTATATTTATAAATAGATACTATAGAGCTATTCTGTAATAGTTTCTTAATCTGCCTCACCTGGACACAATCCCGGTGGAGATGTAACATGATAAAAGGCAGTGGTAGAGTTTGCCCTCAAAGTGTCTACGCAGAGGCCCCAGAAGAGTTCAAACAGAGAGAGGCAGTCCACGGGGATGGAGCTGAGGCAGCAAGAGGCAGCCCTACCCAGCTGCTTAGCGGTGGCTCTGGAGGCCCGAGGTCCCCAGGAGAGCGTGGCAGAAGGCAGGTAGGCTCCACCACTGCCTGCGCTCGCCCTGCCAGCACACTTTCTGCTGTGTGGTGGTGGGAATTAAACCTGCCTACCCGGCAGACACGCCGCAGCACACCAGCTCTGCCAGCACGGGCTGGCATCCTCCCAGCGACCCCACAGCCCAGAGCTCCCTGTGGGAATGCAGCCCTGGAAACTGTGCTTCCCTGTGCCAGTTTCTGCGCAGCTGACCCCAGAAACCACGGTGCCTCTCTGGAGAAATGGGGGTTTCCTCCCCTCCCCTCCCTTCCCCTCCCCTCCCCTCTTTATTGGAACCAAAGAACAAAAAATTGCTTCAACTCCTTCAGATTTGGTTGCGTGAAGGTCACAAGCAGGTTCTGGTGCACTTGGGGAGCATTTGTATCTTGAATTTCTTAATTGTAACCAGAAAAGCTACATTCCTTGGCATTGCTGAGAGGCTGCTGGAGGAATGAAGTGTATTCCCAGAACAGTTTGTACTGCAGGGCAATAGGATGCACTGAAAATGGCAATTGGTTGGGAACCACAAAGAAAAGAGAAATCACTAACTTGATTTGAAAGATGGGAGAAGGGTTTGAGTTAGCCCGTGTCCTTTCTTATTCATCGACATTGCTCCCTGGGATCTGAGGCAGCATGCCCTCCATGAAGGTTTCCAGAGTAATTAATTCAGTCTTTCTGTGGACCAGCAGAGCCAGAGCCACCTCATACAGTCCAAGGCTCAGCTTTTCAGCCAAACCTATAACTGATGTAAGCCAAGGCTTTTTTATTATTATTATTTTATTTTAATAGACACATTTTTGGGTTGCATGTTGGTGCTTACTTTCTATCAGTATAGCTACTGCACCAGGGTATAACAGTTACACTGTAAGTTATTAAAATTAACACAATTTTCTCATACTGAGGCTAGGAATATCTGTTTTCCCTTTCATGTATTTGCATGAGGAAAGCGTACTCGGGAGTCTGGAGAGAAATATGGGCCTGATGCTCCATTATACTTTGCTACTTTTGCAGCCCTAAAATGGTGTAAAACAAGCTGCAAGTTGGGGAACTTTTCAGGAACTAGGGAATCGGACTAAAGGACAAGATTTTCATAACTGTAAAGATCCTTTCTCAGAAAGGTTTGGGGTTTTTTTAGTGCATCAACCAAAACACAGAGCAGTAATTCCCTGGGGCTTTCCACACTTTACCCAGCAAGAGGGAAGAAAGTACCTTCTTCCTCTTAATCCCCAGTAAATTTACCCCAGCTTCTCTTTCTTATTACGCTCGGGCCCAAGCAGCTATGAGACAAGCAGTATCTATGGTGGTTTTCAGGCTGTAGGGGCTTCACTGTGCCACAGGGATTTAGATATTTTCGGGCCCTGCACATCGTCAGAGATGTGGCCAGAGGAATTCCAATACCCAGGCTGGGCTCAGCTCTGGTTACAAGTGGGTCAATAGCAGTTAAGTGGAGAGAGTTGACCTCCCTCAGATCTAATTTTTGCCACTCTTCCTTCCCTTACCACCCCCTTCCGCAGTGAAATTTAAAACTGCCCACAGGGCAATAAAAAGAACCAGCCTGGCTGCCCTTCGCATTGCCCTAAAATGCAGATAGGAGCTCTGAGCTACACACAGAAAATTAGGGTGGGGTTTTTTTCCTTTTTTTTTTAATTCACTGGTTGCATAAATAATTGCTGTCTTGGGTGGTAAATGGTGCTGTGATTCTTGTGGCTGAGACCTGGGAATCAGCAAACACTTTGATCTTTCTGTATGCAATTGTAATCACCACTGCTAATATAAGGGAGAAGTCAGTTGAGTCCATGTATCCTATGCCTGACCACGCGCTTATTCCCAGTGAGATTTTTGGTAAATGATTTAACTTCCCTATTTTATGGGGACACTGAGAGATAGGATTGATTACTGCCTCCAAAGCTTTTCGAGGTGCTCAGTGGCTGTCACAAGTGCAGTGATGGTGACCCTGGAGACAAGCAAGTCAGAACTTTGCCTTGTACAGACCTGTTCTGCGTAAGGCAAAGCACTGTCCATGAAGCTGCACAAACAGCCTTTCCCCAAAACAGAAGAAAAAGTTACTTTGTGGTCTGATCTGGCTCCCTCCCTTGGGGAGAAACCAGTCGCGATCTCGATGGGGGTTTTGCAAATCTTTGCAAAAGGTTTAAGCAAACCTTTGCGTTTGAGGAGGAGGAGGAATGGTTCCTATGTGTGGGTTTTTGCACGCCTCTCTTTCTCCATTAAATCCCCCCTTAACTGAAGAGCAAAGGCAGGCAAGGCGGGCCGTGGTGGTGTTGGTGTGCCCAGCAGCCTCCCTGCATTTTTTAGGCTACAGAGACATCTGGTGGCATTTTTCCAGCCTCTACACGCAGCGCATCCATCCCTACTCAGCGGTCACAGCAACCCTTTCTCTGATGCCTGAACCAAGCCTTTTTCCACCGCAATCTTATGTCCTATTATCTTACGAAAAAAACATCGACCTCTCCCTTTCCAAATTCTCTAAGTAGCGAGGAAACATCTGAGGAAATTTGCAGAGTGTTTCCCCATATCCCAGCTGTGTAAAAGGAAGACCATGAGATGTTCAGTAAGGTCATCATTCTGCCTCTTACTCTGTTCAAGCTAACCTTCTTTCCCCCCCAAACCTAATTAAAATTACGAAAATGCCACTTTGTTTGCCACCTCCTGTGAATTACTTGGCAGACTCTCACTAGACAGATCATTTCGCAGCTCAAGCTCCTATGATAATCCAGTGCTAATTCATGCCAAATCTCCTCCAGGTGATACCACAGCCCAAGGTAAATGCTAGGGGGTTTACCTAATTAATTCCACACAAGCTTAGAGGGATCGAAGTGAGCGCTGTCAGTGGCAGCAATCCACTTGTGTAGGGACCATCCTCTTCTTTAATCAGTGACAAAATATTTTCCGCCCGCGTTTCATTTGCGTTTCATTTCCCTTCCCTTCCACCTCGCTGGCGAGCAAGCTGCAGCACACCAGCTCCCCCTGCTCCCCACCTCCAAAGGGAGGAGAAAAGGGAGGTGGTCTTTTCCTGCTCCCATGTTTGCTGTTAATGGCTTTACCAAAATTCAAAAGGCAAGTCATGACTCATGCGGGGACCGGTAGAAATGCTACTGAATCTATTTGCATAAAAAGGGTCTCGTTGCCATGCTGGCTGCTGGGGGTTACTGAAGCAAGAATTTTGCTGGGAAACAGGGACCTGCAGGCTGGCAGCATCATTCCGCCTATTTGCATAAAACTACCCATTAAGAAAATTAAACAACAAAAGAAATGTGAGTTTACGTTTATTGTCACATATACATTGGCCAGCAGCAATGTCTGTGACAGGCTTTTTCAGAAATCATCTGGGGGGCTAAGTCTGTTGTTTTCCATCACCTCCATAGCAATGAGAGGAAACGCTACCCCCAGGGGCTGATGCTGTCCACCACCTTCATTAATGACCTGGACACTGGGACAGAGCACGTGCTCAGCAAGTTTGCAGATGGTACAAAGCTGGGAGCAGTGGCTTATATGCCAGAGGGTCATGCTGCCATCCAGAGGGACCTCGACAGGCTGGAGAAATGGGCTGACAGGAACCTCATGAGGTTCAGCAAATGGAAATGCCAAGCCCTGCCCCTGGGTAGGAATAGCCCCATGCACCAGGACAGGCTGGGGCTGACCAGCTGGAAAGCAGCTTTGCAGAAAAGGCCCTGAGGGTCCTGGTGGACGCCAAGTTGACCATGAGCCAGCGATGAGCCCTTGTGGCAAGGAAGGCCAACAGCCTCCTGGGCTGCACTCGGCAGAACGTTTCCAGCAGGTGGAGGGAGGCGATCCTTCCCCTCTGCTCAGCCCTGGTGAGACACAGCTGGAGTGCTGGGTCCAGCGCTGGGCTCCCCAGTACAAGCGAGACATGGACATACTGGAGAGAGTCAGCAAAGGGCCACAAAGATGATGAATGGCTGTGAACGTCTGACATATGAGGGGAGGCTGGGAGAGCTGGGACTGTTCAGCCTGGAGGAGACCAGGCTCAGGGGCATCTTACCAATATGTACCTGATTGCCAGGGGGATAAAGAAGCTGAAGCCAGACTCTTCTCAGTGGCCTCCAGAGACAAGACAAGAGGCAATGGGCACAAACTGAAATTCAGTAAATTCCATTTAAACATAAGAAAAACCTTTTTTTACTTTGGGGGTGGTTGAACACTGGAATGGGCTGCCCAGAGAGGGTGGGGAGTCTCCATCCTTGGAGATATGCAAAACCCGACTGGACACAGCCCTGAGCAACCAGCTCTAGTTGCCTTATTTTAGTGAGTTTAATTGAAAGTTATTCTAGTTCCCAAAAGCTTGGAAACACTTGGTCTAAAGAGGTTGCGATTTTCCTACATGTATTTTCTAGTCAATTGACTGATTCCTGTTAAGTTTCTCCTAGCCCAGAGCTTTTTGGTAAGAATAGTGGTGGTGATACAGTGGATATTAAAATGGGATAGGTTTGATTGAAAATACTGCTGAGCTGATACATTTCTGTTCTCTGACTGGATAAATTACGAGAAATAGGTAGAATAA